GGCATCACACAGCTCACAGCAACCTCAAAGTCTTGGGCTTAAGCAATTCTCTTGTCTCAGCCTCCCAAGTAGCTGGGACTACAGGCACCCACCACCATGCCCGGCTATTTTTTCGTTGCAGTTTGACCAGGGCGGGGCTGGGTTTGAACCCGCCACCTTCAGTATATGGGGCTGGTGCCCTACTCACTGAGCCACAGGCACCGCCCTAATTTTTCTATTTTGAATAGTGATAGGGTCTTTTTCTTCCTCAGGCTAGACTCAAATTCCTGAGTTCAAGTGATCCTCCTGCCTTAGCCTTTTAGAGTGCTAAGATTACAGGCATTAGCCACTCCACCTAGCTTTCCACAGAATTTATCTAAATTTAATATATTGTATCTTTGACCATCTCTTATGGATCATTCCGTTATTCTTTGCAACAATAACTAGTATTTAAGACAGATTGTTTTCTAGTTAAAAGGCACAAAAATGTTTTAAAAAAATTCTTCTGTATTAAGTTTGCTAATCAGTATCAGTACACAATAAAAACAACATAAATATAATTTTTATTAAAATTATTACAGGCTCAGCGCCTGTAGCACAGCGGTTACAGTGCCAGCCATATACCCCAAGGGTGGCGGTTCCAACCCAGCCCAGACCAGCTAAACAATAGACAACTGCAACAACAACAACAACAAAAAATAGCTGGGCATTGTGGCAGGCACAGGCACCTGTAGTCTCAACTATTTGGGAGGTTGATGAAAGAGAAAAGCTTGCCTTGGCGCCTGTGGCTCAAGTGGCTAAGGTGACAGCCACATACACCTAAGGGGGCAGGTTGGAATCTAGCCCGGGCCCGCCAAACAACAATGATGGCTGCAACCAAAAAATAGCCTGGCATTGTGGCGGGCGCCTGTGGTCCCAGCTACTTGGGAGGCTGAGGCAGGAGACTCTCTTGAGCCCAGGAGTTGGAGTTGCTGAGAACTGTGATGCCACAGAACTCTACCCAGGGTGACATAATGAGACTCTGTCTCAAAACAATAGTAATAAAATAAAATTATTACAAATAGGTCTGGTGTGGTGGCCTCTAGTCCCAGCTACTCAGGGGGCTAAGGCAGGAGATCTGGGTGGTAGTGATCTATATGATTACATTACTGCACTTCAACCCTGGTGACACAGCAAGACCTTGTCAAAAAAAGGAAGGAAAATGGCTGGGCTCAGTGGCTCACACCTGTAATCCTACCACTTAGGAGGCTGAGGTGGGTGGATTGCCTTAGTTCACAGGTTCAAGACCAGCCTGAGCCAGAGTGAGACCTCATCTCTAAAAAAACATAGTTGGGCATCGCCGTGGGTGCCTGTAGTCCCAGCTGCTCAGGAGACTGAAGCAAGAGAATCCCTTGAGTCCAAGAGTTTGAGGTTGTTGTGAGCTAAGGCACCACAGCACTCTCCCAAGTGTGATCAAGTGAGACTCTGTCTCAAAAAATACGAAGGGAGGAAGGAAGGAAGAAAGAAAGAAAGGAAGGAAGGAAGATAATTACGAATACAATGTGAAGTTTTATTGCAATGCATCTTTTAATACAGTAAAGGATCTTTCCTGACACTGCAATTGTAAATTGTCCAGTTTGGGCAATACATCAAAGTAAGATTCTGAAAGAGAGAGATAAATGTCTTTCTTTTTGTAAAGTGGAAAAACAGTATTTTTGAAAAAGAAATAGGAAAAGGAAAATCTTATTCCTCGTGCACAGTAAAATTCTTAAGGAGATAAATTTAGGAAGGGCACACGATGAAATTGAGAACATGGAAACTGATTCCCCTAAAATTACTTGAGCTTGTCTTTTTTTTTTTTTTTTTGGCCAGGGCTGGGTTTGAACCTGACACCTTCAGCATATGAGTCCATTGCCCTACCGTTTTGAGCCACAGGCACCGCCCTGAGCTTTCAAGTCTTAATGGACTGCAGTTTGAAACCACTAGTCTTCAGAGCAGGAGAGTGAATAGACTAGGTTAGTAAATCTCAAGGTGAGATCAACAACATCAGTATCCCCTGGAAACTTGCTAACAATGCAAATGATCAATCCCTACCTTAGACAACAGTAGTGGCCAACCTCCAAAACCTTCCCTGTGAGCCCTGCCACAGCTCACCCATTGTCTCAGGGTTGGTCTGTGTGACTCATACAGTAAGACAGAGGTTTAAAGCTGCAGCCTTTCTCTTCACATCTCTCTCTCTCCCTCTCACTTGCTCTATAACAAGCCAGCTGGAGGGGATGGAGGGGAGAGGCCCACTTGACAAGGAGCTGCCTTTTGCCTACAGCCATTTGCATGAGGTTGGGGGTGGATCCCCAACCCTTCAGGTGACAGCCCCAGCCACCAGCTTGACAACTACTTCACCAGAGATCCTGAGACACAAATACCCAGCTGAGCCTCTCCCAGATTCCGGACCCTCAGAAAGTGTGAGATTTTTATTTTTCTATTTTTATTTTTTGGTTATTTCTGTAGCCTATAATAATTTAATATAACCATAATTATAAATGACATTACGAAGACATACTGGAATCTTAGGAATCGCATACAATTTTGGAACACATATTAATAACATATAAAAAATAACTTGAAGATGAAATACCATTTCCTTTTTTTTTTTTTTTTTTTTGAGACAGAGCCTCAAGCTGTCCCCCTGG